AGGGTCAATCCAGCTGCCCCTCTTGACAAAATTTGTGTTCTGAGTTGTGGAATATCCACAGGTAAGGGACAATGCCTATCTGTCTATATTGTTTCTTCTTTCAGATAATTGATAATTAGGTGAATATGCAAATTCCATTTGACTAATTATGTTGCTTTTGCTTGAAGGCTTTGGTGCTACCGTGAACGTTGCTAAACCCAAAAAGGGTCAGTCAGTTGCCATCTTTGGACTGGGAGCTGTCGGCCTAGCTGTAAGCAATTCTTGTTGCTTGTGTCTTTTCTCTTGGGGAGCTAGAGAACTTCTTTTGATCTGAATTCTCTTGTGATTTTTAGGCTGCTGAAGGGGCACGGGTTTCCGGGGCTTCAAGAATCATTGGTATTGATTTGAATTCCAGCAGATTTGAGGAAGGTAATGCCAACTTGACCTTTTATACATTATAATGTATGCTTCTACATTTAAAGATCTTTTTCATCTTGATTTAGGTAAAATTGATTGATACTAATGAGAAGCGTTTCATATTTGTGAATGTGTTTGCAGCCAAGAAGTTTGGTGTAACAGAGTGTGTGAATCCAAAAGATTATGACAAACCTATTCAACAGGTTAGTACCAGATGTCAGTTAATAAAGGATGACGAATTTTAATTTCCACCACTATGACCCATTGTTCATACAATCTCTAGAATTACTTTCCATAAAATGTTCTTAGCTCTTTCATTGGTTATGGTACAGATTATCATTGTGGTTAATTGAGTGTTGAAGTATGGTAGAAGCTTAGTGGCTTCATCTTATACTAAGATTAACATATGCAATTTTATAACCAGGTGATTGCTGAGATGACAAATGGAGGAGTGGATCGTAGTGTTGAATGCACTGGGAGCATCCAGGCTATGATTTCAGCATTTGAATGCGTTCACGATGTAAGTAGCTTCAAATTTTTTTGCTTGAGAAAAAAAGTATCTCTATTCTTGTTGCCTTTCATAACTGGATTGTGGTGCTTCTTCTCAGGGTTGGGGTGTTGCTGTGCTAGTTGGTGTCCCGAGCAAAGATGATGCATTCAAAACAAGTCCAGTGAATTTCCTAAATGAGAGGACTCTCAAGGGTACCTTCTTTGGCAACTACAAACCCCGCACCGACATTCCCAAAGTTGTCGATCAATACATGAACAAGGTGAGTTCCTAACATCTCTTCCTTTAATCTTGTTTAACCCAAGCCACCCCCAAACATCCAAACAACCCCACAAATACTAACGTTACTCTTTCTTGATTCCAATAGGAGCTAGACCTGGAGAGACTGGAGAAGTTTGTAACCCACTCTGTGCCTTTCTCGGAGATCAACAAAGCATTTGAGTACATGCTATCCGGCCAAGGTCTCAGGTGCTTGATTTACATGGAGCATTAGATAACGGATCCACTGGTGTGGCTCCGGCGCTTCTCAAAGCCAAAATCCCTTTTTTCCCATTTGTAGCCAAATGGTACTATGTTCCTTTTAAGTTTTCTCGGTTTTGTGGAGCAAATAAGCAGCGGTTTCGATATGGTGAATAGTGAACTTGGTGTGGTTTATAAATTTTATAAATATATGTATGTTGTATTCCTATATCTTGTCCTTTAACAGCATGCATTTTTTTTAATGGATTTTTGTCTCTGAAACAGAAACAGTACACAAACGTTATCCAACATTTTCCTTTGTCCATAAACAGAATCCTAATTGAATCAGATCCACCACCCCAACTTTGATTTTCAACTAAACAGGCTAGTCTTCCAATTCTATACAAAGAAGATCACTAAAGCTCGAAGTTATCTTGTTTTCTTACCATCTCAAATTTCATTACCACCTCCTAGTTGTCTACAGAAATTGGTCATTTTCATTCACTCTTGGATTTGTCATAAATTGTCATCAGCATTTGGATTAGTCATAAAATCTCATCGACACTTGGATTGGACATCTTCATGCACGCTTGGATTAGTCATAAAATCTCATCCATAAATTCTCATCAGCACTTGGAAATTGGAATAGTCATAAAATCTCATCCACTCTACTTGGGTGGCCCCCCACACCTCGTCGTTGGTTAAGCAATCCAAATCATCTACAACAAAGCCGCAAAAGACAGAAAAAGAGTCACTGTCTTCTAATCTACTCCCGACTAATATCCAAGAAGGAAATAGTTGACCTTAATTTTGATGTGTTAAAATTTAATAGAAATGTAAATTTATTTTTTTGCATACTTTTTGTTCCATTAATTAAATCTTG